GTTAGCCTGGTGATGGGTATTAAAGAGGGCACATACTGAATGGAGCACTGGGTGTTATACGCAAACAATGAATCATGGAACACTACATCAAAAACGAATGATGTAATGTATGGTGATTAATATAATAAAATAAAAAAAAGATATAGTCAAAAGCACCTTGTTCAACATTCCTTGGGTTGTTAACTCAAGTATAAATCTGATGAGTTATTTTTGTCATCAGTGACTCCTGATCACCCTAAAGATCAATTCCAGACTCCTTGGCATGGAATACTAGACCTTTCATAATCACGCCTCTTTTACTTCTGTTCCTATGCTCACCTCCCTACCCTAACGTTCCCACATGTACCACACTCCCACTGTGCTGAACTAGTCACAGTTCCAATGGTGCCTGCTCATCATCACCTCTGTGCCTCCACACATGCTTTTCCTGCTGTCCATCCCTTTCCTTGCCATCATGCAGCCATTTCCTGTTCATTCACCAGGTCCAGCTAAGACATCACTCCCTCCAGAAAGTCTTTTCTTGACACCCTCCAGGACTGGGTTAGGTGTTCCTCCTTTGTTCCCTCAGCATCCTGCACTTTGCCTGTCCGTGCCCTCATCAGCCTAGGCTGTTTTCTGCCTGTTTGCCTCCAAGACTCCCCAACAAGGGCAATAATTCCCAGAGGCCCAAATACAATGAAAACAGGGTGGGGCCTGTGTTTTCACAGCTGTACTCTGGAGATTAGCTCAATAAATATTTTTTGGATGAATGAATAAGTGAATGAATAATGAGCCACTTATTATTTGTTGCTTTCTTATGTTCCCTCAGAATTACAACCGACCCCCTGTGATGGCATTAGCCATCCCCATAGCAGTGAAATTCCTCCACAGAAGCAACAAGGAACTGTGCAGGAATATGTCCAACTACCTGTCCCTGGCTGCGATCACCAAGGCAGATCTCCTGGCTGATCACACAGACGTTATAGTAAAGAGCATACTCCAAGGTATGGTGCAATGGCTGAGCTTGGGGATGTTTTTTTAGGAGTGGTTTTAAAGTGTTTTCATGAACCATTTTTATGGTTTGCGGAAAGGGAGACCTAGAGTATTGAGAGGTATGTTAGATTCTCTGCTTTGCCACTAGTTGGCTGATGAACAGAGGTGAGGTTTCTTGGGCAGGCTGAATCTATGTCTCTTCACTGGGCAGATGAATTATTTGGATTCACAGGGGAGTTGTAAACTCTCTCTCTTCTAAATATGTCTCTCAATTTGGAGAATGGTCTTTTCCATGCTTCTGGTTACCTTGTCCAGCTACCAATTGTGAAGAACGTATCTGTCTGCACTGAGTGGAACATATCCCACTGTTCTCAGTGGCAGGGGGAAAACCTTTTCTGCCTTTGGTTTCCAAAAGCAAGGAATGTTAGATAAAACATGACAGAGAACACATGAAGACTTCTTAAATGTTAACATGTTGGGACTAATTTGTAATTGTGTTAAATACCACCATAAAAAATCAAATTAGGACATCTCTGTTAATTGTTTCACGTTTGCATGAGAGAGATCAGGTTAGTCCAATCAAAATATTCTCTTTGTCTTATGTTTTTTCCTTTGGCTTTAGATCTATCAGAAACCATTTTATTTTTGTTTTTTAATTTGGGATCAGAGAACAGTATATGTATTATGTGATATGCACCCAATGTCTCCAGTTCTCATTAATAAAAATGTATGAGGTCCATGAGTATCTTGGCCCACATTTTACTGTCACATACCCCATGTGCTCAAGTTCAACATCAACCCTCCCAGACCAAGTATTTCTTAGAGTCCCCAAGGGTCCCCACAAATGTTCTCTTTCTTGGTTTCCACACCAGTCCATAAGCCCATGCTGTTATTGTCTCCATGCTTCCTGGCACAGCATGCTGTGGTGGTGTCCACTTCCAGCACGCTAAGCCCAGCAAACTCTGTGGCTGCTACCCTGGAGGGCCCAGGAATGGATTTCACTGCACACTGTCTTGCCGGGGATGGAAACCTCTGTTCCTTTGTGCTGCTACCCCCGAAGCTTCAGTCGGGGTACATTAATTTCATGTGGCAGCCTGTGGCAGGATGGGGCGGGGGGAGAAACACCTGTCTTTCTCCTTGGTGTTACACTTTGGTAGAGAGGCCCCAGAGCGGAGCTGCTTAGCTCCCAGTACCAACCTGTTCCCAAGTTTGCAGTAAAATGTATCCATCTGTCCTAAAATGGTCTCTCTCTTTCCTGGGCTCACCTATCCAGCTAAGAGTCAGGCTAGCAAGAAATCAGTCATCCAGTTCTCAAAATGACTATGGCCCACCAAGGACTAAGGATTTTTTCATTGTACCAGACATTCCCAAGAAGAGTTCTTGGCACTCCCCTCTCCAGAACATCTGACCAGCCACCCCAGCGGTCTACCAGATGCCCAGATATGTCTGAACCCCAGCCATGACAGTGGGACTTCATCACTCTACCTGTGTTCCCCTCTAAAGATCTGTCATTGATATTACTAGTCAGTATCATTCATTTCTCATTTTCTTTGGCTACAGGATTGAATTGCTAATTTAACTTTTAATCATGAAACTAAATTTTCTAAAAGTCCAGAAAAGCAGTTACACTTTTTTCACCACCTTGGCTACATACTTGGAACAGATACTATATGATATTACAAACACATATACACACCACACATTTTAAAACCATGATAGTTAGACTTGCAAGTAACAGATATATTGAAAAAAAAAAAAAAACACAAAAATGAAGTGTTTCTTTACGGCTACCAAGAACTTAGCTCATGTATTTGTTTTTTTTTTTCTTTTTTTGAAATGCACTTTCAATGACAAAGATATCTTTTGAAACACAAAATGCACTTTCTGAATTCACTGCAAACATTTTAAATAAACAAATGATTTGGTTTATTTGATCTGGCACTCTAAAAATTACCATAAAAATGATAATTTGACTAAAAGAAGTTGGGACTACATATTTCAGGGCTTAGATTTAGACTAATGTGTCTGTAAAACTACAACCGTTCACATGAGCCCATCAAACTTAGACCTGCAAAGTACAGGGGATCTTACTGTCTCTCAGTAAGTTTTCTGCTCTGCAAATCTTTGTCATATATTCCCTGCAATCAGCTTTAGGAGCCGTCATTAGGATTTCTTTTTTTCTTTACCTATAGTTTTCTCCCCTTTAGATCTTCCTCCTTGACTTATATTACCTTTCTCCCCTTTAGATCTTCCTCCTTGACTTATATTACCTTAATCTGCATTCTCCCATTTTTTCTACTTCTACAAAAAATGCTAAAGTATTGCAGTTTCTTGATTTGATTTATTTTTTTACAAGACTAGAATTAAAAAATTGTAGAATCTTATGTTGGGACATTAAACATGGTTTAGCTCAAGTATCCAGGCAATGCTTGAGTCCCCACCCAGTGGTCATCCTCTCAATGATAATAATAATGATTACAGTAACAATTATAACTACAATGGCTAAAATTTATTTCATGCTCTTTTTATGTCAAATACTGTATTAAGCACTTTATACAGATTATAGGATTATATCATTTAATCCTCACAAGAATTCCATAACAAAAGTCCTATTATTATCCCATGTTACCAATTAGTAGCATTTTAAGTAATAGAAAACCCAGGTAAAAACAACTTGATGATGATGATAATGATGGTGATAATGAAGATGAGGAAGAAAAGAAAAAAGAGGAGGGGGAAAGGGGAGGAGGAGGAAGAGGAAAGGAGGAGAAAGAGGAGGGGAAGGAGGAAGAACTTCTTATCAGAACACAGGACTAAGTGCATAAGTATATCAGACTTCCCATATAGCTTGATTCAGGGCTCAATGGCAGTCGCAAAAGTCATTACTCAGCTCTGCTTCCTTTGGATTGGATTTTCATGCTCCATGTTATGGCCCTCTGCAGCTTCCAACTCACATCATCATGAATACCAATTAAGCAAAAGAAACATATTCAGTCTCGTTGTCTCTCTTTGACCTGACATGGGTCACATGCCCATTTCTGAACCAATCCATCATTGTTGTCAAGGAATACAGTATTTCAGTTGACCAGGCTTGGATAATGAACCACTGTCAAAGCAGGAGATGGGGGTCAACTGCAGTAGAACCACATGAATAGGGTGCAGATCACCCCCCAACCAAATCCAGGGCTATTGCCAGCAATGGCTAAAATGAATACTGGGTACCAACAAACAGCTTTATGTATTTACTTTTATCCTTTTACCCTTTCTTTTTTAGAGATTCAGCCCATTGCTTTGGCATAACAAGACCTTATTGGATAATGATTCTTCCATCTCAGTGTATCTGCAGTTCTTCCCAGGTTCTTGGCATCTGTAAATTTTATGAATAGAACCACTCTCCTTTCATTTTAAAACACTAATGAAAAGGTAGATCAGACGGGGCTGGGCAAGTGGTGCCAGGGGTGACTGTTCCTTATACTTGATTGATATTACTCCACTGATTATATTTTTCAGTTGTTTTATTCAGATGTCTGTCCCTGATTCCAAACGAAATGCCTCCTTTATGCTTGTAAGTCAGTCATGAGTGTTAAATGAGCTTATGTATCTATCCTTGAAGGCAAATATTTCAGTAATTCCAAGCCAGTTTTTACTACTTTTCATTACTAATAATTATATATAAGTAATAATGTGACTTTTACATCAAATGCAAATAGAAATTGATTTTATTTAAATTGCTTAGGCTCCATTTGTCTGTTTTGTATTCTCCAAATTCTTCCAGTGAGAAGGAAACTGTGAAAAGTCCTTCCATTTGGAGAAAAGATTAAAGGCATGGGCGATATTGCCTTGGTGCATACTTGAGAGCTAAGGGGTTAGAAAACCTGAATATACCTATGACAAATAAGACAATTATATCAGTATTTTTAAATCACCCCCACCCCCACAAAAGAAAAAAAAATTGTCCAATTTAGTTTTATAGACCAATTAGAACAAATATGCAAGTAATAATTACAGGCTTGACTATAGTTTTTTCAGATAATTAAAAAACATTCTCCAACTAATTCTGTGAGGCTAGTATATATGTGATATCAAAACAAGAACAGGACAACATAAGAAAGGAAAATCAGGCCCCTTTTAATTATGAACATAGATGCACAAATCACAAATCATGAATCAAAATGACTCCAGCAATGCTTAAGGAAAATAATAGTTCATATTTGCTGAGCACTTCCTGTGTACCATTTTCTGGTCTTTTAAGTCATGTAATTCTCCCAGTATCTTATGAGGAAAGAACGACTGTTATTCTCATTTTATAAAATTCATAATGATTCAGTTGAGTTTATCCTAGGAATGCAAGCATGTCTTTTTTTTTTTTTTTAAGATTTATTTATTTGACAGAGATATAGCAAGAGAGGGAACACAAGCAGGGGGAGTGGGAGAGGGAGAAGGAGAAGCAGGCTTCCCACTGAGCAGGGGCTCGATCCCAGGACCCTGGGACCATGACCTGAGCCAAAGGCAGACAAGGACTGAGCCACCCAGGGGCCCTGCAAGCATGTCTTAATATTCAAAATGTAACTCCCCCCCAGTAAAAGACTAAAAGGTCAAAAAGTCATCTGATCAGTAAGAGCATCGCATAAATTCAGTACCCATGCATGAAAAAAAAGTTTTTTGATGGGGCACCTGGGTGGCTTAGTCAGTTAAGCAGCTGCCTTTGGCTCAGGTCATGATCCTGGGACCCTGGGATCGAGCCCACATGGGGCTTCCTGCTCAGCGGGGATTCTGCTTCTCCCTCTCCCTCTGTCCCTCCCCCCAGCTCTCTCTCACACTCTATTCTCTCTCTCCCTCTCTCAAATAAATAAATAAAATCTTTAAAAAGAAAAAAGTTTTTTGAGAACTAGGAATTTTGAGGAACTTCCTGAAACTGATTAAGGGGATACTGTGTATGTATATATGTGTGTCTATAAAATTATTACATATAATTAAGAGAATATAATATATATATACCTATATACATATGTATATCCTCTTCTTTTGTAAAATTCCAAGTCTGTTCATGACCAAAAAAAATCTCTCCACAAACTAGCAATAGAAGGGAATCTCCTTAATCTAATTAAGGATATCTACAAAAACCTACAACTAAAATCATACTTAATTGGAAATATTAAATTCTTCCCTTTGAATTAAAAAATAAGACAAGGATATCACTTAGGTAATAAATTTGTTTTCTGCTTAAATAATATCAGAAGTAATTTAATATTTTGTGACATCACCACCTTTTCAGAGTGGGAGTCCTTTTTCAGTATTCCTGAATAATTCTCCAAACTTGTTTTTTAGCCATGTAGATGCTTGTAAAACCTGCCCAGTGTTGGCATACAGAAGCACAACCAGTGCTTAATACAGCATAATGTAGCACATCTTTTACCCAGGACACTGGCAACGTTATTGGAGATCCTGAAAATGAGGATGTCTCCAACCATAAGGGATTATTTGAGGACTTACAGGGAAACGCTTTCCAAATTTTGATTTGGAACTCTGTGATGCAATGCACATCACTGCTATCAAAACTAAAAGCAGTGATGTCTCTTCCCTTACGTTTCTGAATCAGTGGTCATAATAAGGAAATATGCCTCTCTGTCAATATGCCTTTTATATGGCCCTCTGGCATAGATCACAAGATGACCTCAAATGATTGGAAACTTAAGTCGAAAGTCTTTGGAAAGAAAATGTAATATTGTCTCAGCAAGAGTCCAAATTCCTTTCTGGCTTCCTGGCAATAGTCTAGAAGAGACTGTCTAGTTAATTATGATAAATTCACTTCATTTCTTTCTCTATGTGAGACAAAATTCAAACCACTGATGGGTGAGCTGTCTCAGAAAATAGAGAGAGAAAATTAACCTCTCATTTATTATGGTAGTAATAATATGTACCACATAGGGTGAGGTGAGGCTTAAGTAGATAAAGCAGTTATACTTTGCACAATGCTGGGCACGTAGTTCATCAATGCTTACGATGATTCCTCTTATTGTCATTATCATAATCAACATCATTGTCATTGTCATCCCTAATTGAGCATCTGCCATGTACCAGACCCATATTAAAATATTAAAGGCAGAACTAGATTCATCTGTGGAATTTTATACTCCCTGGGGAAATACTTAGCCATTAAAAATTCATGATACAATTATTCTTAAGAACAAAGTTTTAAGTTCACCCTATTACAGGTTGTTGAGAAAGAATTTATTAATCCAACTTCTAGGAAACAGGCTACTAGCAATCTTATTAAGAATATTCAAACTGAATAATAATACACATAGGGAAATATTAAAAATGATATTCTAAAAACCAACCCAAATGTGGATCAAGAAATAGAGACACATCTTGAAACAAAAGAGGACCTCTTCTGAATTGTTAACTAAGTCTGGGATCAGTTGTACTCCTGAGTTTGCACCTTCTTGACTCCACCAGCAGATGTTGCTGTGAAGTAAAATAAGGCCTGCACAGAGAGGAACATCCCCGGGAGGGCCTCTGAGAATGGCTTACCCACAATATAAGGGAATCTTTATATTCACTTATTTGTTTGTATTTTTGCATGTTTGCTTCTTTTTTATTTAATGCACTGGGAACAACTTGGAAAAACTTTTTTTAAGACAACTTTTATTGCAAATATTATTTTATGCTTTAGAAAGTACATTTAGATACGTTTTCAGTTTTTGTCATTGTCATAATAATCCTTCAGTAAGGGAGGCAAGTCTGTTATCTCTAATTTCCTGGCTAATGTGAGACCCATAAAGATTAGTTGGAAGGCCCAACTTCTTGCAGTTGGTAGGTGATGGTGCTCTAGTATTCATATGGTGAATTTCTGAGCCCAAGACCAGCACGCTTTGTTACACAGTCCAGATTTATAAAACGGAATGCAAGCCTCAGTAATCTCAGTTTTCCAGTTCATTAAATCCATGAATATAGATGTGAATGTTTATAATTACTTTGACCAAGATTTTTAACTTTGTGAATGCTATTTATTAAGTGGCTAAAAGAGAGTTCTGGAAACTTTTGGCCTTAGTAAGCTTCTCAAAGAAGAGCTTCCTAACATAAAATTTAATACAAAAGTAAAAATCAGTGATGATTTCTTCTGTTTGCAAATGTAACTGTTAAAATGAAGTTAACTAAGTAATTGTAAATACAAACTCTCAAATTCTACAATATAGACTTAGTAGTAAAACGTTCTCAATATATTTTAAAGAAATTAACATTTCACTAAAAGCCAATTTATATTGTAATAGACAAGGAAAATATATCAACTCTATTTTGTTCATATATTCATATATACCTCTGCAAAAATATTGTACGTACGTACTAGAGTGACAAAGTGACAAACTGTCACTTTGCCTAGAAATGAAGATTCTTCACACTCTCAGTGCTAAAGCTAGGACGATCCCAGGCAAACCAGAACAGCTGGTCACTCTAGCACACACATACCTAATATTTTATACTTTATATAAATATATATATATAATGCATTTTTTCCTCCTAATAAATTGAGTCATCTTGCACAATTATTTTATAATGCCATGATATAGTGATGCTTTAATGGCCATTGTGGTGAACGAAACTCTTTGCCAATGTGCCAGACTAAGCCAGCATACTGATATTTTTTTTTTAGATATTTTATTTCAGTTTTACACATTTCTTACTTCTTCCTTTTGCTGACACTATGTATTCCGAGACTCATTAAATGCTATTAGGAAAAAAAAAGCCAGAGAGCCAACTTCCTGAGAATTTGGAAAATATATTTTCTAAGTATAGCCTATGAATGTTTTGAGGAAATAAAGTGTGTGTGGTCTTTTCAATTTTTTAAAAAAATTGTTCTACTGGATCAGATTAAGTGGTCAAACAGTAGTGGATTTAAAATGACAGAAGTGTGGTTTTCTTCACGTTAGAGAAGTGCAGAAACAGGCAGCCTAGGACTGGCAAGGCAGCTTCAGAACACGAAGAGACCCAAGCTTCTTCTATATTCCTACACCGAATTTCATGATCTGAGATGGTTGCTGAAACTCCTGCCATCACAACCATATTCCAATCAAGTGGAAGGAGGAAGAGAAAGAGAATCACGTTCAGTATTTCAACATCAGTTAGCACTTAGTCATCTGGCCACACACAGCTGCAACTGATGCTGGAAAATATAGACTTCACTCTGAGTGGGCATACCTACCACTGAAACTGGAATTCTGTTCCTTTGGAAAAGAAGGAAAATAGGTATGAGGAAACAATCAGAAGTCCCTTGAAACACTTATCTGGATTTATTGCTGTAGTAGATGAAGTTTCTACTTTTGTAACCCAAGAATTACTTGTTTTTCTTCTATTTTCTTCTTCTTTACCCTCAACGTGTAAGTCTCATAGAGAAATTAAAAAGACCCTTATGTTTAACTCTGTCAGCATATGAGTTTGCATGTATTTTGTCCTGCATCATGTTGGATCTTTTGAACAGATCTAATTCATGCTGAGATGTGGAAATTGAAAGCATGCCTTACTCTCTGCTTACAATTGGATCCAGTATTTCATCTTCCAGTTAAGCATTCAGGTCATAGAGATAATGGATAAAGAAGGACTTACATATGGCCACTGTGCCCACAATCTTGAATCATGTAATCTCCAAGGGTCCGTGACTGGCCTATGACCTCATAACTGTGAACACTCTTCTTCTCTAAGAATCAGCCTGATTTTGTGGATCTCACAAATGGGATGAAGCTATACTGATGCCATGACCAAAGATTCCTAGATTCTTGAGATTTTATTGCTAAAGGCACTGAGAGACCAAGTCCCTTCTTTTACTGAGAAGACCCGGAGAAGTTAAGTAACTTGTCTAAGGACACTCGACTAGTTATAAAATGTAGTTTGGTAACTACTCCTGGCCCTATTCTCCAAACCTCACAAACCAGAGATGACCTGTGGTTGTCCAGGCCCTATCTTTAGGTGGACACATTATCCCTGTGGCTCTACCACATTTGCTGCTGACATCCAGAAGCAGCTTTGTGGATGGTCTTCTATTAGCCCTGCATAGCCTTTACAGGAGGAGAACACTAGTGTGGTTGAGAGGTACCTCCCCATCTGCAGGGTGAAGGACCTTGACTGCCTTCTCCTTCAGGCATGAGTAAGAGAATGGGGTATGTTTTAAGGGCAGGAGTCACTGTTTTTCCAGATTCTTAGATCTCCCTAAGGAACAGTCCTCTTCATGTATATTTGGGGAACTCTGATAGTTTGATTCTGTGTTACATACGACAGAACATTGTATATGATCATAGAAACATCAAATTGGGACTTAGAGATCAATATTTCCTCAATTCCTTGATTTCTCAGTTGAGAAAACTAAAACCCAGAGAGATGAATTGACTTAGCCAAGATCAAATTTCTTGCTCATCATTTATAGGAAGCGAAAGTTTAAAACAACTCTACAGTTTATTTCTAACAATATTAACTATTACTATTTACACAATAATTAGTATCTGAAAACTAGTTCCTACTTTGAGTGTAGATTTGCTCCAAAACATCTTTTAAATTTATAATTAGATGACATGGGGTAGTTTTATAAAATATTTTATTTACAGTAGAGCTTTACAAAAATAGTCTTAATAAAATTAATACAAAACCATTTTACAATATAACTTATATAACTATCTTCTCAAAAAAGTGACATTCGATTATAACACATAAACTACATTTGCATTTGTTAAGTCACATTGTAGTATAAATATGTTTTATCATCATTTTTTAATAATAAGGTACATACGAATAGCAATGAACAATGGACAGCAAATGTTATTTTATTTTTCTTCCAATGTAAAAGTCATCTCTGGCCAAAACAAAATTAACCAAAGTAAAACAATTGTCCTTCTGTTCAACAATAGTCCTTTTTAATTATTTGAGAGTCTATCTGACAAACACACAGCATTAATCTCAAAGCACCATGGCATAAAATCTAGTAACAATATCCGGAAAAGCATTCTCCAATGTTTTCTCTTCAACTGTTTATTCGGTATTTTGCCAAGATAAATATTGATCTCAACTCTCCCCTTCATTAGTCTCAAGTGTTCTTAATATGCACTGAGGTTTTTAGACTGTCCCAACTGGCATATGTTTAAAATGTGAGTTTCTTTCTTTGGCTTCAAGTAGAGTTTCACAACATTTATGAAACATACTGAGCTCCTCCGTGTGGCTGAATCTCTGTGACTCCCCACCCAACAATATTTCCCCGGATGTGACAAGACTCTGCTCCGCCAGTCTCTCTTATCTCTTCATTGCTGAGAACGCGATCCCAGATATTGAAGGCTGTGAGTCTTCCAGAAAAGGCTAGGGTTTCATCAAAGCCACCACCCACACAGCAGCCGTTCTTTTCTTGGCCAATCTGCAGGATTCCTCCCTCGGGAACAATGTGACCTGTGGCCATCTCGACAGTGGTTGCCATCAGCTCACCGTTTACCCACAAGGACGTGCGTCCTCTCTCAGAATTCCAGGTGCTGCACAGATGGGTCCACTTTCCCAGGGAAATCACAGTATTGGCAATCAGTTTGTTCTCCACTCCACCCACCACAAACACTATGGACTGATAGCTGAAGTACAGCTGGATCTCATATGGATTTCTCTTTGTGCCATAGGAAAACAGGATGGTTTTGTTTAATACATCTGTGGCTTTGACCCAAAGGCAGGCACTAAAAGACTCAAGCTTCATTGGTGTCACTGGATGTACGCTTCCAAAAATCTTCTTGGAACGCATTGGGAATAAAATTGCTATTTCACAACCTAGAGGAGCAAGAAAGTGAGAAGGATGTGAGAGAAAATATAAATTCATTCAGAGATGATTCCAGCATTTACGTATTTTAGCATAGGCACTTTAACGACCACAACTGAAAATTATGTGCTGTATCACATTATGACTTGAGGAGCTTCAAGTGTGATCTCGGTAGCACAAAGAAAACGGGAATAAAGAAAGTCAATTGTCAGGCTTACTCAATGAAGCATCTAAGTGAAGGAGGCATGCAGAGTAGCCAAATTGTCCAAACTCAGAAAATAATGGAAACCTATTTTAACCATTACTTTCCCTCACAAGTAGTTTATTTTCTGTTACTACTTTTTTATATATATAAAAATGTTGAATCACTACGCGTTAACTTCAAACAATGACGCTGTTAATTTCCAAGAACTTAGAGCCAGACTTGTTTCCCTCTTCTTGACTTCACCAAACTTCCAGAATAAAAAAACAAACCAACCAGCCTATGAAATTCAATGGACCTAGCTCACCCATTTACCCATTATCAACATACGTTTTTAAATGAAACTCTAGGACAGTCATATTGTTGCTGTCCACAGAATTATAATTTGTCTCTTTGTCACTCACATTGAGGATCTATTGTATATTTGATTTTATGCTTTTTCAGTCTCTGAAACCGTAGTGAATATTCAAGAAAATATGCTCAGCACTGATAAATGGTCCTCAAATATTTAGGAAAGACTGATAACTGTTTCTATAATTTTAAATGAACTGATTTCCTGTTTAAATAAACCCAGCATATATTTGTTAGCTTTGCAAAGTTTGTAGAAAACTACCTTTAAAAGGCAACAATGTATAATAATGATGACTCACTCTTATTGGGTATTCACTGTGTACCAGATATTATTCTCATCACTGTATCATTTTATTCCTACTTATCAACCCTAAGAGATAGTCTTAATATTCCCATTCTACAGATGAGAGAACTGAGGCATAGAGCACTAAGTAACTTGGTTCTGCTTGCTAGCTGGTAAGTGGTAAAACTGGGGGTTTGAACTTGGGCACTGTGGCTGCAGAGACCACACCCTTAACTAAAACACTGCATTGCCTCTTAATGGGAAAAGAACCCCTCCATTTGGCTAGGAGAGATGGAATTCAGTTTGTTTTACTATTAGCAAGCATGCAGTTTTTGATGAGCCCCATAATTTCTCCAGGCTTTCCTGTTATCTATAAAAGCCCCTTCCATTCTCCTTCTAATAGTCTATGAGTCTGTAAGCAGGAAGTATGTAGTACTCCAGAAGAACTGTGTAGACCAAGGCTATTCTCAAAAACTCTTATTCTGTCCACATGCTTATAATTACTATTTAGGCAGCAATAGAAAACCTTTAAGGAAGAGTGAACTCTTCCAAGGGGCCTGGTGGAGAACATATTTCTGCTAAAGAGCACTTAGAAGGAGACATTCAGACACCAGGGTGGGCGCATAGTAAACTCCTACCTCAGTTCATCTCCAGGTCACATGTTTGGTCAGGGAGCTAGAGATGCTGAAATGAAGGCCTTCTAGGTGTCTCTGGGAAATGTGCTAAAACCTTTCATAGGTGAGCTCTCCTTTGTGATAACTTCATATGTTTATAAGAGACCAGAAAAAGAATTTAAAAAAAAAAATCTAAATGAGGGCTAGGTATTCACTTTATAACAAATTAAAGATTTATCATAAAATAGCTCTGACAAGCAAGCTTTCAGAGCCTTTAATGACTAACGTGAATATAGGAACTTGCAGGCACCAAGCATCCATGCAGTGTGTTAAACTAAGCTAAATGCCTGCAAGTGATTGAGGGCTAGGCTCTGTCCTAAAAAATTAAACAGATGTGGACCTAGAAATAGTTGAAGAAATACTGAGATTCAGAAAATCGTATAAAAGTAACTACAATACCAAAGCACAAATTGGTCCTGTCACATTTTGGTATTCACTTTTTCACTGAATCATTTGAATTTTTGAAGACTTTTAAGATTCATTCTTAATGACGCATTCTTGTTTCAAATGAAATTGGTAGATACATTTTTTTTTTTCCTAGTTGTGTTAATTAAATCAAACAAAGATCACGGAACAAAAGATCACCATATGCACGACCATTTGAGATAGTCTCTGAATGTCCCAGTAAAGTAGTGTTCCAGAGGGGGCCTACTGCAGTTCAATGAACTGACTTCCTGTTTAAATAAACCCAGGCAGTCAGGACTGCATTCCTAAGCATTCTTTGATTGCCTCTCAGAGACCCAGCTTCCCCTGCAGGCTACACTGGCTACGTGAATTCATGGAGTTGGAATTTTCGTGTTCACAGGTTTTTTTGTGGCTTTTTTGGTGGGGACCAGTGATTGAGGCTCTTGATATCTCTTTAAAATGTCAGAAATGTCAGAAACTCTCTCATGAAATGGCTTTTAACTAATAGGTTTTTCTGATTATATTATCAAAGACCAAACAAAATTAAAACCAGGTTCTTAGGAGGCTGACAACAGAATAATTAGGAATCCCTTAGGAACCAAGCTGGCAGGAAACCAAGAAAGGAGAAATCAAACCATGTGGGTAAAATATATATATATATAAAATAAGAAATTAACATTTTAGAACTCAGAAATACATCCCTCTCTGCTCTAACCAGTATACAGAGGTGAAAGTGAAAATTAGCGTTAATCCTTCACTTTTGGGGGTACACTATATGTACTATCATTTCTCATGGTTTGCCAAAGACAAGACAATTTCATCCATTAAAATAGCCACAGAATTATAATTTGTCTCTTTGTCACTCACATTGAGGATCTATTGTATATTTGATTTTATGCTTTTTCAGTCTCTGAAACCGTAGTGAATATTCAAGAAAATATGCTCAGCACTGATAAACAGTCCTCAAATATTTAGGAAAGGCTGATACTCCGGTATGGTTTCTGTAATTTTAAATGAAACATGCTCTCACACATGCTTATGATTCTTCCTCCTACCCCAAGAGATGATTTGCTTTATTGTAAATATAAAGAGGGATGGCACTGTTTGTAATGTTTTCTGTTCATGAGATTCTCAGGAACAGTGTAAGTTATATTTTCTAACTAAGTCACTGATTTTCTAATATAACCCACAAAAGATTTTTGCACTACTACCTCTTAGAAATTTTGATTTATAAAGGAGGGTTATTTGGCTCCAAATCGTCTCATTTCGTTTAACTGTCTTTCAAATGTATTATTCAAATGTATTCTTTCAAATGTATTATTTCGGGCCCATGTGTGTTTGGAGATTCATTCATGTCACAGGGGACTTCAACAAGTTGTATCTGGTTTGAACCGCCTCTCTCCTGTTTGGTCCTGACCCCCTAAATCCCTGGGGAGGGGGGTTACCAATTTTCTTCTACATCAGACCATTTCACTGTGGATCCCGCCCAGCAGGTTTATCCCAAACCTCACATACTCAGAGCTCCCCTCTAGCGGGCTAATTCCACAGACCCCAGGGCCTGGGGGACCCCTCAGGAATTCCACTAAGCCTTCAGGAGATGAGGTTCGGTCTCAAGTCTCCAGCCAGAACCAGCGGGGATGAGGGGCCGGCCCAGGGATAGGAACGTGTCCCTAAAAATTAGGCTGGGCTCTGAAATAGCGCGGGGAACCAGAGCTCCCCTAAAGAGAGAGACAAGCTAAAATTCGAAGAAGTGGAAATCCCTAACGGAGGGAAGCCAGGCAGCTAGAGAGGTCACGGTTATAACCGGCCAACAGAGCTCCCGCACCGCCTGGTCGGATCAGGTGTCAGTCAGGGGCCCCTGATGTCTATTTTCAAGACTGTGATGTTTATGTCTATAGCTCTCTTCTGGGCTCCTCGGGGCTGGAGAATACCTTTTAAAGCCAGTTTTTGCGCCTTGTATGGTGTGTGTGTGAGCCCTGTTAGCGTCCATGGAGAAGCAGAGGCGTGTGTGTCTCCAATGAAGCTGCCCCTAGAGGGCTGCCACCAGGCTTCCCGCCACGCGCGTTCCGAGGACAAAGACGCAGGGGGGG